CTATGTTGGTGTGTGTGAGGAAGACTGAGTACTATGTTGGTGTGTGTGAGGAAGACTGAGTACTATGTTGGTGTGTGTGAGGAAGACTGAGTACTATGTTGGTGTGTGTGAGGAAGACTGAGTACTATGTTGGTGTGTGTGAGGAAGACTGAGTACTATGTTGGTGTGTGAAGAAGACTGACTCTCTAGGGTCACAATACATCTCTGTGTTCCTCTTGATAGTAAAGGTAAGTGAATCGTCTTCCGTGCCTCAGGGATGAGAGGAGAGACAACCGCCATCCGAACCTTCTCTGTCTCTCTCTCTGTTTGTTTGCCTCTCTGTCTGTCTGTATGTCTGTCTGCTCGCTCCACCACCACGAGAGTAAAGGAACGTGACTGTCCGCTCCTTATACTATCATCTTCACTTCTGACAGGCTAAATCTTTAAGTGAGATAAGACCTCGCTCTCTCTCTCTCTCTCGCCTTGATATAAGAGTTTGGTGTAATTTATAGCGCTAATATCTGTCAGTGTTATCGTCTGTGTGTGTGTGTGTGTGTGTGTGTGTGTGTGTGTGTGTGTGTGTGTGTGTGTGTTTGTGTGTGTGTGTCCCTATGCATGGGTGCTAGATGTGAAAATATGACTTTCATCCCATCATTCCCCCCTCCCCTCCATCTCCATAATTCATACCACCTCTCACACCCACCACCCTCACCTCTCACACCACACCTCCCCTTCCTGATTACCATATAAACCTCCTCCTCCCCTCCTTCCCCCCTTCCTCCCCCTCCCCCAACAAATATGGCCAGGTCCAATATTTTTCCCCCACTATTCAGATCCCTGTTACAGCTGCCTATCCTCCAGAACATCACACCCTATCCAATGTCAGTAGGTTGGGGTTAGATTAGGTTAGGTTTGGTTAGATGGGATTAGGTTAGGTTATAATATGAACTCAGTATTAGAGTGAAGGGTGAGAGAGATGGCGTACCTCAGGTTAGAGAGACAGTGAGATGGTCAAACAGACACACACACACACACACACTCCTTGAAGGGGAAAATAGATATTGGTGTTGTATACAAAAACACATATGTCACCAGCCGAGACTTGTGATATCAGTAATAAGCGCTTATTAAGGGGCTCTAGGGACGCCTGTACAATGTCTTTATATATCCGTTAATGGATGTGAAAGAGCATTTGGGGGTGGTGGAGGTTGAAGGCTTTAAAACGAGGTGGCGTCTAGTGTGTGTGTGTGTGTGTGTGTGTGTGTGTGTGAGAGAGAAAGCAAGAGGTTTGTGTCTCGCTAAATATCCACCTTCAACTCTCTCTCTCTCTCTCTCTCTCTCTCTCTCTCTCCCTCCTCTCTCTCTCTCTCTCTCTCTCTCTCTCTCTCTCTCTCTCTCTCTCTCTCGCTCTCTCTCTCGCTCTCTCTCTCTCTCTCTCTCTCCTCTCCTCTCTCTCTCTCTCGCATTTTGATCAACTTTGTGTATTCATCAAACGTTGCTGATCAAGAAGATGAGGTCTTTAAGTCTGTGTTACAGTCTACATCATTATCCAGCGACAAAGGAAACAAATTGGACATTATATCTATACGTTGAGATTTGCATTAAGTCTATGTAGGAGTCTATGTAGAAGTCTATGTAGGAGTCTATGTAGGAGTCTATGTAGGAGTCTTTGTAGAAGTTTGTCTCAGTAAGAATTATTGTGAACTAAGGATTGTTGTTATCTTTAATTAATAGTAGTATTGTAATTGTTATTAGCGTAATTATTATTGCTCTTGTTCTTCTTGTTATTCTTGTTCTTGTTTTGTTCTTATTTTTTGTACTTCTTGTTCATGTTCATCTTCTTGTTTTTTGTTTTTTTCTTGTTATTGTTCATGTTCTTCCATTATTACCTTCCTCATCATCGTGGATCTCACTGCTGTTACATCCAACGCACAGGACACAGATTGAGGAAGCCTTTAGGTACCACATCATCGTACATTCTCCTCAACATGAAAACAAACCAAGATATTTAGTTCCTGGGTTCCTTATGAGAAAGATTCGTGTTAAAAGGCTCTGAGCAGTATTGTTTGGAGTTTGGGAATATAATAGCAATAACTATATGAAGAAAAAACATCTAACTGGTTCGCTTTCCCTTGTGGAGTTTCAGAGATGATGGAAAAATGGTGTTTGTTATTAAATGCAGCGAGACTATGCATTAGGGTGAGAAATTGCTGAATTGCGAGAGATAAGGTTAAGGGGGGAGGGATGGGGTGGTTGATGGGAGGGGGTGTGGTTGATGGGAGGAGGGGGGGAGGGTATCGCGTGATGTAGTTATTCCAAAGAAGGTGAAGGAGGAGGTTGGAGGAAAGGGGGGGGAGGGGGCAGAGAGAGGGGCAGGGTGATAATGGAGGTCGCAGGGAACGAAGGAGTGAGGGAATATTTGGAGGGTATAAGGGATGACAAGTGAGGGAGGAGACAGAGAGAGAGGAGGAGAAGGAGAAGGCCTTCTTGGAGGTTGTACATAGAGAAAGGTCAGGAGGTCAACAGGTGGCTTAACTCATTGCCCTGATAAAGATACACACACACACACACACACACACACACACACACACACACATACTGATGTTGTTTCATTCCACTAACTAGCGTATGTATCTTGTCTAGTTAGGTTAGGTTAGGTTACGTTAGGTTAGGTTAGGTTAGGTTAGGTTAGGTTAGGTTAGGTTAGGTTAGACTCTTAAAGTCTCTCTGTCTTTCCCAGTTACCTTCACTTGTCTTAATGCCGTTACTACCACCACCACTACTACCACCACCACTACCACTACTACCACCACTACCACCACTACCACTACCACCACCACCACCAGCCAGGCACAATGACGAACAGTTGTATAGTGTTATGAGTAATTAGGTTGTCAAGGGTGGGGTGGTAGTTCAAGAGGATGCATCAGCCCTAAAGAGCCCTGAAGAGAAGACAAGGGAGGGTCTGACTGAGGGGATCAAGGGCGAAGGTTCAGGGACGGAAGGAAGAAATAGCTCTCTCTCTCTCTTAGTCCTCCAGTATTCTCGAGGGGCTGTCATATCATGTTACTCGAGGGGCTGTCATATCATGTTACTCGAGGGGCTCTCTTGTCATGTTTGAGGGGCTGTCATGTCATGTTTGAGAGGCTGTCATGTTGGTTGAGGGACTATAAGGGGCTGGAGTTTCATTATTTCCTGTCACAATATCCTGCCTCAGAATCTGTCATTTCATCCTACTCCCAGAAGCTCTCATATCACCCTACTCCCTGAAGCTGTCATATCATCCTACTCCCAGAAGCTGTCATATCATCCTACTCCCAGAAGCTGTCATATCATCCTACTCCCAGAAGCTGTCACTCCCAGAAGCTGTCATATCATCCTACTCCCAGAAGCTGTCATATCATCCTACTCCCAGAAGCTGTCATATCATCCTACTGCCAGAAGCTGTCATATCATCCTACTCCCAAGCTGTCATATCATCCTACTCCCAGAAGCTGTCAATCATCCTACTCCCAGAAGCTGTCATATCATCCTACTGCCAAGCTGTCATCATCCCTACTGCCAGAAGCTGTCATATCATCCCTACTCCCAGAAACTGTCATATCATCCCTACTCCCCAAAGCTGTCTAATCATCCTACTCCCAAGCTGTCTAATCATCTCCCTCCCAGAAGCTGTCATATCATCCTACTCCCAGAAGCTGTCATATCATCCTACTCCCAGAAGCTGTCATATCATCCTACTCCCAGAAGCTGTCATATCATCCTACTCCCAGAAGCTGTCATATCATCCTACTCCCAGAAGCTGTCATATCATCCTACTCCCAGAAGCTGTCATATCATCCTACTCCCAGAAGCTGTCATATCATCCTACTCCCAGAAGCTGTCATATCATCCTACTCCCAGAAGCTGTCATATCATCCTACTCCCAGAAGCTGTCATATCATCCTACTCCCAGAAGCTGTCATATCATCCTACTCCCAGAAGCTGTCATATCATCCTACTCCCAGAAGCTGTCATATCATCCTACTCCCAGAAGCTGTCATATCATCCTACTCCCAGAAGCTGTCATATCATCCTACCCAGAAGCTGTCATATCATCCTACTCCCAGAAGCTGTCATATCATCCTACTCCCAGAAGCTGTCTAATCATCCTACTCCCAGAATCTGTCATTTCATCCTACTCCCAGAAGCTCTCATATCACCCTACTCCCTGAAGCTGTCATATCATCCTACTCCCAGAAGCTGTCATATCATCCTACTCCCAGAAGCTGTCATATCATCCTACTCCCAGAAGCTGTCTAATCATCCTACTCCCAGAAGCTGTCATATCATCCTACTCCCAGAAGCTGTCATATCATCCTACTCCCAGAAGCTGTCATATCATCCTACTCCCAGAAGCTGTCAACATCCCCCAGGATCCCTAGCACACTGTTGATTAATATAAACACTTATATGATGTCAACAACGACCTTCATCCCTTGACTACCTGGGGCCTGATGACGTCAGTTAGTGAGGCTGGATGACGTCAGTTAGTGAGGCTGGATGACGTCGCTTGTTAAGGTTTGTTTACGTCACTTCCTGGGGTTTGACGGTATAAATCTGCTGAGGTTTGATGACGTCACCTACAGGGGCTTGATGATGTCACCTGCTGAGGTTTGATAATGTTATCTCCTGGCGCTTGATGACGTAAATCTGCTGATGCTTGATGACATCACCTACTGGGGCTTGATGACGTTACCTGTTGAGGCTTGATGACGTCACCTGATGAGGCTTGATGACGTCACCTCCTTGGGGGTTTGCTGACGTCACCTCCTGGGGGGTTTGCTGACGTCACCTCCTGGGGGTTCGATGACGTCATATCCTTCCACTACTTCTTCAGAGTATAATTGACCCTTTAACATTATCGTCTTGCAGAAAAAACACGGAGAAAAATAATATTAATTTATACATTCCTGTTTTGACCCATTCCTGTTTTGACCCATTCCTGTTTTGACCCATTCCTGTTTTGACCCATTTCTCAGTTCCCGGGCTCTGAGAACACCCTCCAACCTGTTGATCCTGAACCTGGCAATGGGCGACTTCCTGCTGGTGGCGGTTCTCGGCGTCTACGTCTACAACTCACTCAAGGAGGCACCTGTCGCGGGCAAGCTAGGTAAGACTCTTCTAGTCTGAGTCTGAGTGAGTCCCCTCTATGTCTCACCACGAACACTATTACCCATTATAATCTAACTCTAATTATCTCTCCACTTCTAACAACCTCATTAGTTTTTAATTTGATTGTTTGTGTGTTATTGACCTAACTGATGGAGTGTTTATTCTCACGAGTGTATAATTAACCCCTACGTTTTTTTATTTGTCTAACAAGAGGAAGGTCGATTGGGAGGTCGATTGAGAGAGATATGAATAGAAGGTTAAAGAAACGTCATATAAAAGTTTCTCTCTCGTTGTGTTATACCGCACAGGTAAACAAACCTCTTAATGAGAAGTACCTTGAATATCGGAGGTCCTGAAAAGCCGAGGTCGATTACGTGTGTATGTATGTATGTGTGTGTGTGTGTGTGTGTGTGTGTGTGTGTGTGTGTGTGTGTGTGCGTGTGTGTGTGTGTGTGTGTGATACAGGGAGGCACTCGTGTTTATTACCAAGTCTTCGTTGAGCTGACAATCGGCCTAACACACAGTACCTATACGATGGCTGGTTTCTATTGGATATTTAAAGGGGAAATACTACCTTTAGAGCTTTGTGTTGTTTAGCATTGTCCCGGTCCCAAGGTATAGGCTTTAGTTGAGATCTTTTGTTTATTGTTTAAATGTTCATTAAACCGGTGTTTTTTTTTTGGTGTTTTTTTTGTTTTTGTTCCTTCACCAATAAAATTCAAGGTGAAGGTGGGTTATATAGGCAAGAGAGAGAGAGAGAGAGAGACAGAGAGAGAGACAGAGAGAGAGAGAGACAGAGAGAGAGAGAGAGAGAGAGAGAGAGAGAGGTTTAAACACGGCATCCACTCTCCACTATCCTTTGTTCTAATGACTGTGTTCACTCATCACTATTCCACCTTAACCCTACCTTCTATTCCTCGTCCTCTCCCTTCTTTTCCTTCTCCTCCTCCTCCTCCCCCCCTTTACCCCCCTTCCACTACTCATTCACTATCTACGCCTACTGTTCCATTTCAATTCCAGCCCACTCTTACCACCAAGTGCATTCTCTCTCTCTCTCTCTCTCTCTCGGCCAACTAACCTCTTCATGATAGCTAATACACGGAAATAAAACAAATTTCTACAATACATTTATATTACCTTCAATATTTTTAAAAAGGATGAAGAAACTAATCTTCGTCCACACAACTATGTAACTTGTGACACTTGTACAAAAACACACAAAAACAGATGTCTTTGTAGAGTTTAATTGTTAGAGAGTTTATTAAAAAAATATTGAAGTTATTGCAAAGATCAAGCAAGGGTCATTTGTAAGGTCAAGCAAGGGTCATTTGTAAGGTCCAGTGAGGGTCATTTGTAAGATTCAGTGAGGGTCATTTGTAAGGTCAAACGAGGGTCATTTGTAAGGTCAAACGAGGGTCATTTGTAAGGTCAAGCGAGGGTCATTTGTAAGGTCAAGTGAGGGTCATTTGTAAGGTCAAGTGAGGGTCATTTGTAAGGTCAAGCGAGGGTCATTTGTAAGGTCCAGTGAGGGTCATTTGTAAGGTCAAGCAGTGACACTCTAGAAGGTCTTATTAAGTAAAGATTTTTTTTTGTCTGAGTTATAGAGAGAAATCCACACTGTAGGAATTATACTCCACATCCTCCTCTGTCGGTACTCCACACCTTACTATATGATACTCCACACCCTACTATATGATACCCGACACCCTGTTCTATGATACTCCACACCTTACTCCACATCCTACTATATGATACTCCACACCCTACTCCACATCCTACAATATGATACTCCACACCTTACTCCACATCCTACAATATGATACTCCACACCTTACTCCACACCCTACTATATGATACTCCACACCCTACTCCACACCCTACTCCACATCCTACAATATGATACTCCACACCTTACTCCACACCCTACTATATGATACTCCACACCCTACTCCACATCCTACAATATGATACTCCACACCTTACTCCACACCCTCATCCATGATACTCCATTTTACACCATTACTAAGTCCACCAAATTCTTCCACCAATCACTTAGACAAAATAGGAAAAAGACTTATGGAAAAAAAGCTTTATTGAGCTAAACCAAACGAAGCTAAACCTGGATCGTATAACAGTTTTCTCACACTTGTATAATTACTTTTGTTCTTTCCTTTCTATTTTTTGTTCTTCGTGTTATATGATTGTTAGTTTTTTGTTCTTCGTGTTATATGATTGTATGTTTTTTGTTCTTAGTGTTCTATGAATGTTATTTTTCCAAGTTCTGTATTTGATTACGGAATAATAATATTAACAATAATAATAATAATAATAATAATAATAATAATAATAATAATAATAATAATAATAATAAAAATAATAATAATAATAATAATAATAATAATAATAATAATAATAATAATAATAATAATAATAATAATAATAATAATAATAATAATAATAATAATAACAGGAGGCAATTCTCCCTTTACATCACCAATGCAACCTAACCTAACCTAACCTAACCTAACCCAACCTAACCTAACCTACCCACGCGAGCATTTAAACAATATCCAAATGAATTTACAGCATCCTTAGCATCGTGTGGTATAATTCTACAGCCCTTATTGACGTCATTAGGTTTTTTATAGGTAGATTATAGAGAAATATGTGGTATTGTTGACGTCATATACCAAAGTTACTGCATATTTAAATTATTGTGGGATTTTAAATGAGCAAGGAAGGATTATATTATGTTATATTTTATACAGTATTTTTGTCTGTCTGTCTGTCTGTCTGTCTATCTGTCTGTCTGTCTGTCTGTCTGTCTGTCTGTCTGTCTGTCTGTCTGTCTGTCTGTCTGTCTGTCTGTTAGTCGTTTCTCTATACCTTTTACTTCACTTCCTCCTTATCCTCGTCTTCTTCTCCTCTTCCTCCTCCCCTTACCTTCCTCCCCTCATCCTCACCCCCTCTTCTCTCCTCCCCTGCCCTCACCCCCACCCCCTTCCCTTTAATAACTACACCTGTTCACCCCTCTCCCCCTCTCCCCCTTTTCCTAGGTTGTGATTTCTACGGTTTCGTGAGCAGTCTGGGGGGTACAGCCTCCATTATGTCTCTGGCCGCCATCTCCTTCGACCGCTATCTTGTTATTGCCTATCCGCTGGACCCCTTCAAGAAATTCTCATACAGACAGGTAAGGAGGGAGAGGGGATAGAGAAGGAGGGAGAGGGGGTAGAGAAGGAGGGAGAGGGGGTAGAGAAGGAGGGAGAGGGGGGGAGAGGGGGTAGAGAAGGAGGGAGAGGGGTAGAGAAGGGGGGAGAGGGGGTATAGAAGGAGGGAGAGAGGGGGTAGAGAAGGAGGGAGAGAGGAGGGAGGGAGAGGGGTAGAGAAGGAGGGAGAGGGATAGAGACGGAGGGAGAGGGGTAGAGAAGGAGGAGGAGGGGTAGAGAGGGAGGGAGAGGGGGTAGAGAAGGAGGGAGAGGGTAGAGAAGGAGGGAGAGGGAGAGAGGGAGGGAGAGGGGTAGAGAAGGAGAGGGAGAGGGGTAGAGAGGGGAGGGAGAGGGGGTAGAGAAGGAGGGAGAGAGGGTAGAGAAGGAGGGAGAGGGGTAGAGAAGGAGGGAGAGAGGGTAGAGAAGGAGGGATAGGGGGTAGAGAAGGAGGGAGAGGGGATAGAGACGGAGGGAGAGGGGGTAGAGAAGGAGAGAGGGGATAGAGAGGGAGGGAGGGGGGTAAGGCTGAGAGATAAAAGTTGAAGGAAAGAAAGAAAGAAGGAAGGAAGATTGGAGATAGTTGTGGAAGGAATTGAGAGAGAGAGAGAGAGAGAGAGAGATTGATGGCTAAAAGAATCGACTAACAATAAAAATAAATAAAAAAATAAAAATACGGTTAAAAAGTATATGAAAATTCACTTATATTATCAATACCTGACAAATCCACTCAAACACAATGCTAAAATTAACACTAACAAGGACGTCTACTAACCTATGGAGCAGTCAGTTATATACACCTGCGATACAACCTCCTAAACATGACCTTAACCCCGCCAACTCCCACGCGTTCTAACAAGCACTAAACGACCCTAACACTAGTCATGGACATTTAAATCCTCAAAAGTTTTAACCAATTTTATGGATAATTCTCGTATTTGTTAGATGATAAACTTTATTCTCATATTTTCCAATTTTAGGTTAAATGAGAATTATAATCAATCATTAATTAGTTAACGAGTTATAGCTGGTCCCGTCCCTCGCTGGTCTGGGCTCGCGGTTAGAGAGACACTAATGAAGGGTCATCTTTAATCGTCTTTTTTTTTATCCCTAATTAACCCCTAAAAAATATTTACCTGAACTTTAATTAAGAGAGGCAGATAGACAGACAGACAGACAGAGGAAAACCTATATTTCACTAACAAAATATTATACTTAAGAAAAACACATTGAAAAGGACATATAAATTCACCAAGAAAGAAACTAGGAAAAAATAATGATAATGAAACGAAAAAACAAACAAGTAATGAGTAACACAACAGGTAAAGTACACCTGTAACTTCACTCATTATTGCCAGGTATAGGTAAACTCCCACGGGTAGTCCTAACACATCACCTCATCCAGTGATTTTTTGGCCTATTTCGTTCTGTCATCTGTGTTTAGTCAATAGGCCTATGGGTACGGACAGAAGCGTTTTTAAACACTTCTAACTACTGTTCATTGTTTAGTTAAGAAATATATCTTTCCAGGTCAACCTAACTTGCGGTATTTTGTTCTGATATTTAGTTTCTTGAAGCAAAAATGTCGGCCACAAAATCTAATCCAGCAGTTTTATCAATATATTTTTTTCTTATCGGAGGAACCTTTTGGCCTGAGAGTGATAGCTGTAAGGGTTTTGCGGGCTACACACACACACACACACACACACACACACACACACACTACATATAAACAACATTTCCCCCCCCCAAAAAAAAATCTCCTTTAAAATTATATTAATTATCCCTAAAAAAAAAGACTAGAAAACGGGAATAATGTCAACAATACCTTTAAAACTGTTTGTTATTGTTTACTTTACAAGCAAACGGTAAACAAAATGACGGCGTCTGATTGGTTAATTCGCTGACGGTATGAAGGATGAAAAAATATAATAAGGGGAATTATTTAAATTTTAAATCAATTAATAAAAAAAAATCATGATTATTTATAGAAAGTTTTTAATATATTGGATGTTTTTAATACCAATGATAATTATTCGTATAAACAGTATGTGGATTGCTTGTGGTGGTTTATTATTAAGAAGACAATATAATGTAAATAAACAGATACCTAACCTAGCCTAACCTAACCTAGCCTAGCCTCACCTAACCTAACCTAGCCTAACCTAACCTAACCTAACCTTCACTAGAATTCAATAAAAAAAATCGTTAATATTTTTGGGTCGATAAATTAACCTTACTCAAACTCTAATACATCGTGTACTGTATATATGCTGTATAATTTTGTGTAGCTTAATAGTAAATATATCAATTCAGTACAACAGAAATACAATTAATAAAAGTTCAAAGAAATGCTTACTTGTTATCTGGTTAGTTGATAAATACCGAAAAATATACGAAACTTGGATTCAGATTCGTGAACCCGGAGCAGTAGCCATTGGTGCATTATATTGTACATAAATGCTTCGGATTCATGAGTGTGAATCTCGGGGTTCGTGGTTCAGGAGAGGCGACAGGACTTTTGTGGGTGACTGTACACTGTGAGAGGCTTACCACTTCTCTACACTTCTCTACACTTCTCTAAATAAACACTCAGTGGTGGCAGGTGTGGAGGGGGTGAAGGTACAGTACAGGTGCACTGGTTAGGTTAGGTTAGGTTAGGTTAGGTTAGGTCTCTAATCTGGGGAAATTTAAAATAGATAAGTAGTCAGTATATATGAGAATATAACTCAGATTAAGGTGACTGTGAGACTTCAAAGACGGCTGGTACTCTCTTATCAAAAATGGTGGCTAGATTTACCCTCGTTACTAGAGTGAAGTAGTGACAGGTGTGTATATATGTGCCAACAGCAGGTGTGTAGGTGTTGGTAAGATTGTCAGCCTTACATACCAGAAGGAAAAATAATCTCTAAGTCAAGTAATGAGACTGATGTGAGCAAGATGTAAACAAACCCTCATCATCTTTCATCCATCACTTAAAAAAAACAAAAACGCGTCAATAAAGTCAGTTCAGTCCCCCCGTTAATATCAACACAGAAAACGGTCCTGCAGTCTACAGAAAACGGCCTAATATCAACACATACCCTCAACCGTAAATAAACAAACATCTCATTAAAACTAGACTAATTACTCATAAGGAAAATTAACATAGAAAACGATTTTATTTATTTCAACTCAAACAAAACGAACCTGTGGAGACTTTAATAAGAACTTTACCTTATCAATGGAGAATTTTCCTCACCTCACTCACGAATTCCAACTCTCTCATCAAATTCCTAGTTGTTCCCCAGGCTAAGCTTACTATTATAACAACACCACACTTATACAAAGGCTTAGCAACGCCATATAACGTATGTGCTTCACGTATAATATAAATTCCAGCTTAGATTAAGGATATTATAATTCCTTTCATCTTGATACCAAATTTCTGTCTTGTTTACCTGAGCATTCACGCTAAGTAACACCTGTACAACACTAATGAAATACCTGTGTGTGCGTGTGTGTGTGTGTGTGTGTGTGTGTGTGTGTGTGTGTGTGTGCATCAGTCTAGTCTTTGCCAATATCAGATCCATACACACGTCAGTCAGTCTTACTTCCTGTCAGTCTGTCTACACACCAACCTGTTAACATGTTAGTTGAAGTGGAATGTCTGTCTATCTGTCTGTATTTCTGTCTATCTGTGTCTTTCTCTACCCCTTTCCTTCCCCTCTCGGTCTACTAATTAATCTACCTGGTTCTCTCCCCCACAGGTGCTCAGCATCATCTTGGTCAGCTGGGTATACTCCGGAATCTTCTCTGTTATTCCTCTCCTGGGCATTGAGGGCATCAATTTTACTCCCGAAGGCTTCCTCACCACCTGCAGGTAATCTAAGGCTTCCTCACCACCTGCAGGTAATGTAAAGCTTCCTCACCACCTGCAGGTAATCTAAAGCTTCCTCACTAACCTCCAGGTAACAAAATCAACAATAAAACAAACACATCACCAAAACAAACGTATCAGTCAGTCAGTCAGTGGGTGAAGTGAATCAGGAGAAGCAGCCACTGTGCTCACTGATGCAGGTAAATTATATCTCTATGGCAGTAGGAACAAGTATAGTGGGGCGGGAACTCTTCTCTTTCTTCTATGTATAAAAGACCTCCCCCCTCACACCCAACCCCCACCCC